TAACTGTATATAAGCCTGGAGTAAGATGTTAGTTCTCTCTATAGGGGGACAGATACTAATGAAGTCAAGTGAGGGATCTGGCCTGCCTCTATCTCATCTTGAGTTTCTAGTTTTGGGGTTATGAAGTTTCTTTCAAGTTCATAATTCATATTTTCATTTCTTTTTACCTTTTTGGCTAATGGAAACTCTTTTCTGATCCCTATATTTCTTTCCATGGCCTTCCATGTTCAAAGATACTGCTATGTTCTTGAGAATTTTAAGAAAATTTTTCCTTTAAGCAGTATACTTATTTTTTAAGCAAGTATTTGTTCTAATTCTAGATTAGTCCTTCATTTTGAACTATAATAATATATTTTCTTGGCTTAATGGTTTGGATTTTTCTCTATTGCTCCCTTGAAGACAGAATCCTATGCATGTTCAGAATTAGATACTGCTCTGTTGTTTGTTCTCCCATTATGCTGGAGATCTATTAAGAGACTTAAATGAGTCATTGCTTGACTGAAGTCCAGAATAAGGAAAAGGGTTAGGTTTGAAGTAGATTAATTTACCAATTAGAAATTTATCTTCCTGTGAGGCCTGGGGAAGGAGCCAGCATCAACTCTAGAAGTAATCAAATAGAAGTTTGCCTCAAACCAAACACTTGCTTTCAGGTATTTGGTGTGGCACTTAGTAATTAGCAAGGTCATTGTCACTTGGCATGGCTGCTCTCCTCCGAGGCTGGCTACTAGAATTCTTTTCTCACAGATCTTTGGTGCATTCTTCATAGTAATATGTAAGTCAGCAGTAACTACTCAGCCAGAGATTACTTGCTGGGTTGGCCTCTGGAGCCAGGAGTCCTTTTTAAGGACTTAGTGTATTTTAAATACACCAAGCTCTCTCCCAGACTTAATTCCCTACAGCCTTCATCCTGCTGAACTAAGGGCACTAGTCCAGGTCTGTAGGGCTTTTGTTTGCTTCTTTTCTGCATGTGCAATTGCAGTTTCTCATGAGGAGGGTATTGAGCCTTAGTCCTTTGTCAACTTCCTGAGTTGATTTATCCAAGTACATATTTGTGGAGGTTTAAGCAATAGTTGAAAGCACTGTGTAGTTTCTAGGACCGAGTCAGGATAATTTCTGTTTGTTTGATGTTAATTGTTATTTTTGTGACTAGGCCTTGCTATGTAAGTAGACTGGCTTCAAACTCATGATCCTCCTCCCTCTGCCTCCTGAGTGTTTGCCAGGTATGTACCGCTGTGCCTAACAGGATAGTTCCCATTCTTGTAATCAGTTGGCCATTTCTCTGGTTACCTAGCATAGAGGACTGAGCCTATGTGATTTTTTATTTGGAAATTGTATTTTCTTCCCTCAACTTACAATTTTAATTGTTCTTGAGCCTTACTAGCACATCTTCATTTGCTCAATTTTCTTTAATATTTTAGTGATAGTCTAAATATAATTTTACACTATGTATTTTTATATCAGAAATTGTTTTCATAGCAGGGTATTGATAGCTTACACCTGTAATCTTAGCTACTCAGAAAACCGAGATGTGAAGATCACAGTTCAAAGGCAGCCCTTGTAAGGAAGTCTGTGAGACTCTTTTTTTTTTTTTTTGGTTCCGGTCATGGGGCCTGAACTCTGGGCCTGGGTGCTATCCCTCAGCTCTTCAGCTCAAGGCTAGTGCTCTACCACTTGAGCCACAGCGCCACCTCCAGCTTTTTTTTTTGTTTTCTTTTTGGTTATGTGGTGCTGAGGAATTGAACCCAGGGCCTCATGAATACAAGGCAAGCGCTCTACCACTGAGCCACCTTCCCAGCCCCGTCTGTGAGACTCATCTCTAATTAACCACAAAAAGCTGGAAGTGGAGCTGTGGCTCAAGAGGTAACCTTGAGCATGCTAACCTTGAGCAAAAGAATTTCAAGGATAGTGCCCAAGCCCCTATATACTATGAGTCTTTAGGAATGAAATCTCATTGGCCTGTTTTTAATTATTTCTGTTATCAGGCTATTTATACATTCATCTGTCGATTCTACATAGAGCAATGTAATTTATATAATTAATAGAATTTATAATTCATATATAAAAAAGAGAAAGGAGAAATAAGAGCATGGCAGTCACAAAATGATGCCAGGAATATACTCAGCATAAAGCAGTGCCTCCTGGGTTCCTGTAACTTACTTAGGGTGAACCTTTGTCATGAAAAGAGAGGTATCCCTGTACACATGGCCTTTTCCCTGGACCATTCATTTCAATTCACAGTGTATAAACAACGGGACTCTTTGCCCTTCTAGAAGTAGAACTGAAGAGAACATTGGTATTGTCTCAGGGCAGATGTGGAATTTAGTGTTAATTGTTGTGCTAGGATAAATAGCTGGAGAACTTCACTATTTATTTGGTTAATAAAAATAATCACTCTAGCAGAAGAGAATTGAAAAGTTCCACTATTTAAAATGAGTAAAACCTATAGTGATGGAATATAGTATGAAGAATAAAAAATAAAATATAAGAAAAAAAAATAAAAATGACAATTTAAAGTTTGTAGAAATTGCTGCCTATCTTAAGTCATTTATTGTAAAATCTGCTCTTCTGAGCTTGTGGTTTGCCTGCCTGGTGGTATTAGCATAGAGAAGCACCATAAGATTTGAGATCAAAGGACTGAGATTAACTGTCCAACTTTACTATTCCTACTACAGAAGGCCTGGATCTTTATGAGCTCTGATTCATTACTTTTTACTGTATGGGAAATACTCTCCAAGAGTTGAAAAGTATTAGGCCTTAGCTTGTATGTTTGGGAAGCTAGAACATATTTTTAACTCTTATTCACTATGCCCTGAGTTTTCTACAGATTTTCAATAAATATCTTTAAAATTTTATTTTTCTTAGCTAGGCACTGGTGGCTCATGCCTATAATCAGTTGCCTGGCTACTGAGGAGGTAAGATCTAAGGATTGCAGTTTGAATCCAGCCCAGGAAGTCTTATCTCCAATAAACTACTCAGAAAAAGCCAGAAGTGGTACTGTTGGCTCAAGTGGTAGAACACTTGAGCAGAAGCAGCTCAGGGACAGTGCCTAAGCCCAGAGTTCAAGCCCCAGGACCAGCCATAAGATGAAATACAATAATTTTTGTTTTCTTTAGAGCCAGGATTTTGCTTTGTTCCAGGCTGGCCTCAAACTGGCAATCCTCCTGTTTCTGCCTCCCCTGTGCTGGGACTATAGATGTGTACCATCATGTTCAATTTAATAAATAACTTTTGATTCAACATAAGGAGATTCTTTCATGGGATGAAAACTATCTAAAAATGAAAATATTTTCAAAATCAAAGTGTTTTCTTAATTTCTTAATGCAAAATTTTTTCTTCTTCTGGACCAAACTATAGAACTAGGACCAGGCTCTTCTGGCAGAAATATGGCAGCTTTCTGAAGTTTTCTTTTTTCTTTTTCTTCTTTGTTGGTCCTGGTGCTTGAACTCAGGGCCTGGATGCTATCTCTTAGTTTGTTAGCTCAAGGCTAATGCTCTACCACTTGAGCCATAACTCCATTTCTGGCTTTTTGATGGTTAATTGGAGATAAGAATCATACTGACTTTCCTGATTAGGCTGGCTTCAAACTGGCCTTAGCCTCCCGAGTGCTGAGATTTCTTCCCATACCTAGTTCACACATTGCTAGGCAAGCACTCTACTGTCTGAGCCATTCCCCTAGCCCTTTTGGTGTTTTTAGTTATTTTTCATGTAAGACCTTACATTTTTTTCAGGGGACTGTACTCAGACCCATAGCCTCCCAGCTTTACCTTCCACCTAGCAAGGATCATAGGTGCATGTCACCACAACATTAATTGAGATGAGATTTCTAGATACCTTTATGGCCCAGCCTTTGAACCACAGTCCTCCGAGTCTCTGCTTCCAGATGGCTGGGATTACAGGTATGAGCCACTGTGTCCAGTTGCTTTTTGAGTTTTCTTAAATGATATATTAATAAGAAAATAGTTATACTTTGTGTTTATTTATCATCCTCTCTTTGAGGCTATCAAAATGATGTTAGAAATGCACTCTTCCTCACTCGTGAAATTTTCATTTAGGAAGCCCCCTACCCGACACCTATCTGAATAGCTGCCTTACTCTGTAATTTCCTCCTATGATGTTGGGGTGTTTTACCCTTCTTTTTCTTGAAGAAATATAAATATGCATTTTATATTTCTTATTGGAGTGGGAATTGTGGTTGCACTAATTCTGGTTCTTCCATTGACTGAAATGTGTGATTCTAGACTCTTCTCAGTTTTCTCATCCACATTGGGGTAGTGCTGAACTGGGTCATCTCCCTGTTTCCCTTGTTCCCCTTACTCTTTAGATGCAAACTGTTACCTCAAAATACGAATTTCTTTCTTTCTTATCTTCTTCTTTTTTTGTTGGTCATGGGCTTGAACTCAGCAGGGCTTGGGAGCTGTCCCTAAGCTTTTCTGCTCATGGTGCTAGCCTGCCACTTTGAGCCATAACTCCACTTTTGGTTTTCTGGAGTCTCATGGGCTTTCCTGTCTGGGCTGGGTTTGAATTGTGATCCTCAGATCTCAGCCTCCTGAGTAGCTAGCATTACATGCATGAGCCACCAGTGCAGGACGCTCGCTCTCTCTTTCTTTTGCCTCCCTCCCTCCTTCCCCTTTTACCTTTCCTTCCCCCTTTCCTGTTCCCCTCCCTTTCTTTCTCTTTACATGTCTTTTAACAGGATGGTTTCTTCTCCCTATCTCTTCATTCCCCCCTCCCCCGCAACTTGAAGCTATCGCCCCAGAACTTCTAAGCTGGCCCTCAGAGTTGAATTTATCCTATGGAAATACATCCTCTTTACATCATTTGGACAAGTGAGAAGGAAGTCTTGATTTTCAGATGTTAGATCTTCCTTACCAGGTTCCTGTTTTTATGAAGCTAGTATTTGGTACTTGGTATGAGGGTCTTTTCTTCCTCTGATTAACAGTGCATCACTCTCATGTGCTAGTCCTCTTATACCAACTGTGGGGTTTTCTTTCCTTTTACAGGCACCCTATTTCTCTTAGCATGACTGTAATCTGATCAGTAACCGTGAGCCCTGCCTCCTGTGTCTGGCAACTGTGGAGCTGGGGCCTCATCATCGCCCCCAACTACAGCACCATCATGGCTGCCATCTCTACTTCCACTCCTGTAATTTCACAGCCCCAGGTAAGTGATTCAGATCAGCATCCATTTGGACTAATCACAGCTTGGTCAAATATTTAAATTGATTTTCACAAGGTGTGTTTTACTCTAGGGATTATGTATAGTTCTCTTATTATAATTTTGTGGGTACTTAGAAAATGGTGCTTTTGTGAACCAGGTACCATTTAGTTCAGGAAGCAGCTGGAACAATGAACAATGGTTTTAGTGAACTGGCCTCTGTTCGGAGAGGGCCTTGGTTTTCAGCACTTAGGATGCCTGACTCTTATTCTGGATGCTGAATTCCAAATCAAGACAAGTCAGTGGCAAATTTTGCTGCTTTTCAACTTTCTCAGTTGTTGTTGTTGTTGTTGTTCTTGTTTAATGAAATATCTCAGGGTAACTTGAATCTGGTAAATATCCCACTGCTGCCTCAGCATCTTCTGGTAACTAGTATTTCCTCTTCTAGGAAATTGGAAGACAAAATTGATTCTAGAAACCTTTGAACAGTTTCTAGGAAGTACTTTTGCTGTCTGGGATGTCTCTGTTCACATTGTTGTACAACCTGCTCTCTGGAGTATTCACTGGACTCTGTGGGGCTCAGCAGGCTGTGTGGTACAATAGGAACAGACTTTGGAGTCATTAGGCTTCAGTTGACAGCCCTGTACCTTGGACTGTTGAACAAAGAGTCTGAGTCATGGTCCCCTCTCTCATTGTCAATTTCCTTTCCCTCATTTGGTCTTCGCATGTTTTTTGTGGATTAAATGACAGAACACATGAAAAGCATGCAGAAGGAACTCGAGTGTAAGTGTAGTTTACTCCCATTTCATCTTCCTTGATCTTTACTCTTCAAGAGGAGGATCTTTCAGTTTTGATAATCAAACTGTATAACTATAATAAAGAGCCATGTTGATTGGAATTTCCTTTTTTTTTGGTATAGAATGTTACTCCATGTTTTTTATTCAGTATAACTTTGCGAGACGCTAAAATTTTGTCAGCCAGATGCGTGAGGGCAGCTCATGGCTGTAATCCTAGCAAATCAGGAAGCTGAGTTCTCGAAATCAAGGTCAAAGCCAGCCTAGAAAGGAAAGTTCATGAGACACTTACCTCCAATTAACTGCCAAAAATCTGGATAGGGAACTGTGGCTTAAGTGGTAGAGCACCAGCCTTGAGTGAAAAAAACTGAGGGACAGAGTCCAGGCCCTAAGCCTCAATACTGAGGCTTGAACTTGAGGTCTTTCACTAGCTAGGCATGTTCTCTTCCACTTGAGCCACAATTCTAGTCCTTGTTATGGGGTTGTTATTTTTGAGATAGGGCCAGCCCTGGACAGCAATCCTCCCATGTTGCTGGGACAACAAGATGTGTACTATCACACCCAGTTTTCCTGTTTCCCAATTGTGTTTTCTTTGTAGATTTGAATGATAGGCATATACCCCTGTACCCAGCCGTTTGTTGAGGTGGAGTCTAGCCAACTTTTATTGCCTGAGCTGGCCTTGAACCATAATCCCTCAGTCTCTGCTGTCTATATAGTTAGGACTATATGCTTGAGACTTGGTACTCACCTTGCTTTTCTTTTTTCATTTAAGAAGGAATAAAGAAAATGAGGGAGAAAAGAGGAGAGGACATTTTTACTTTATTTCCTATGGGTGCTTTTCCTCCAAACCCCTCAAAAAATTAAAAGGCCTGAGGATCTGGCTTTGGTGTATCTGTAATCTTAGCTATTTTGGAGACTGAGATCTGGAGGATTTCTGTTTGAAGTCTTTGAGACTTTGATCTCCAGTTAACTTGCAAAATGTTGGACCAGGGACCTTGTTTAACTGGTGGGGTTCTAGCTATGATGGGAAAAAGCTGAGTGAGAGCTCAGGTCCCAGAATCACAACCAAAAATCAATAAAACAACCTGAAGATTTTGTCACATGGATAAAATGCATGCTGCTCTTCAATGCTTTTAGTATTATTTCCAGAATATTTAGTGTTTCCTCTATCATGTGTATTTCTCCTTTTGCCAGAAGGATCATTGCCTATTCAATACTTCATTTACTTTGGCTGTTTGGTTACTAGTAACCTCAGTGGGGTTTTTTGGTACCTGAGAAACTTGGAGAATCACTGAAGAGACTTAGTGCATGTCATCCGAGGTCACCATGTCAGAGTCCAATGCAGCTGTTCCTAGTGGCCACTATGTGAGCCTTTTGTAGAGTAAGCGAGGCCTTGGTGCTCGGTTCTGGACAAGACATGTCCTCATCCCACTGTCCCTGTCCTTTGTCAGCATTTCCAACAGCATCAACCTACCTGCTCATTACCCCTCTGACACAAGCAACTGTTAGCAGGCAAACAATATAAACACGTGAGAATAAGTCACTTAGTTAAAACATTTAACAATGCCTGAGGTAGAGAGGAGTCAATATAAGCACTTGGCAATGTGTACTCTTATAAATTTTCTTTATCCTTTCTCCCTCCCCCCTCTGGCCTCCCCCCCCTCCCCCGCCAGCCTTTTCACTTTCTTATTTGTTTGTTTGTTTATACTTCTGTTTTCACTCCTGAGTGAAAACTTGTTCTTGCTAAGCAGTCACCATCCCTTTAACCTGTTTGCTTTAGTTAGTTACTAGATAGGATTTCAGCTTTTGGGGCTGGATGCTGGATCCCCTCACCTACAGCCTTCACCATGGCTGGATTATATCCACCTTAGCTGGCCTTGACCGGCAGCCTTCCTCATCTCTAACTCCTGAGTATCTGTGATCCTGAGTATCTGTGTAAACTTTTTATGGTAAAATGACTGTATCTATTAAAATTGTTCATCTTTGCACATGTTCTGTTTCCTTCTCGGTGTCTATGTTAAAAAAACATGTGCTCATCTGAGACCAGGGTGGAATAAATATATAAAGATATTCATTGAGGCATTGGTTACAGGCCAAACAGTAAGAAGTTTCTCAGTATCCTGTAGTGGAAGACTTAATAAGTTCAGAAGTATATGGTTTATATTCAATAACATATCAGTAAAAAAAAATTTGAGCATATCAACATAGAGCTATATTGCCCTAAAATACCCCCTTTTTTCCCCCTAGAACTGAAGCTTCAATTCAGGGCCTTATTTTTGTTTTCCGCTCAAAGCTGACACTCTAGCACATGAGCCATAGCTCTACTTCTACCTTTTCAGTAGTTAATTGGAGATGAGAATCTCAAAGACATTCCTGTCTGGGCTGCCTTCAAACTGTGATCCTCAAACCCAACCTTCTGAGTAGTTAGGATTATAGGTGTGAGTCACTAGTGTTAGGCTTACCTTAAGATATTTTATGAAGGTGCCTGGCTTGCCTTATGAGATTTTATGAAGGGGAAAGAAAACAAGATACAAAATAATTATTATAAGAAGATATCATTAAAATGATTAAAACAAAATTGTATGATTTTAGGTACATCAATGGAAATGTACAGTGGAAATTCTAGTACATACATTATCAGGATGATGATTCTTGGACTTGGACTTGGACTTAGGAAGATGAGCAGTCTCTCCAAAGCTTAATCCTACCCAACAAAAGCTCATTCATCTGTCTTTATTTTATTTTATTTTTTTGGTTGGCTGTGGGGCTTGAACTCTGGGCCTGGGTGCTGTCCCTGCGCTCTTCAGCTCAAAGCAAGTGCTCTACCGCTTGAGTCACAGTGCCACTTCCGGTTTTCTAGCAGTTTATTGGAGATAAGAGTCTCATGAACTTTCCTATCCAAGCTGGCTTTGAACCATGATCCTCAGATCTCAGCCTCCTGAGTAGCTAGGATTACAAGAGTGAGCCACCAGCACACAGATTCATTTGTCTTTAACTTCTTTCATGAACTTAAACTTAATTGCAAATGTTCTCCTTGAGCCTCATTAATGAAAAGCAAAAAGGGTCAAGAAACACTGGAACACTGGAGTCTTCTAGTCAGAGTGGTTGAGCTAAAAGCTTGGCTCCAGCATTTATTAGCTGAGCCTGAGGGCAAGATAGTCATACCTTCCAAATGAACAGAGCAATAATGAATCCAGTCACAGGGTTGTTTTAATGATGGCATGACAAAATAGGTATAAAACTTAGAATCATGTCTGACAGACATTGCCCATTTGTATTTGTAAGCCTTATTATTGTTCAGCAAGTGCCATAGCAGGTCTGGGATTACAAGAATAAATGAGATAAATAGGCCTTTGTCTGGAACTCAAAAAATTAAACCCCCCAACAACAAATCCTCAAAGAAACAACTGCCCAATAAATAAGTGGGCGAAAGACTTAAAGAGAAACTTCCCTGAAGAAGAAAGAAGGATGGCCAATAGATACATGAAGAAATGTTCAACATCCCTAGCCATAAAAGAAATGCAAATCAAAACAACATTGAGATATCACCTCACCCCAGTTAGAACGGCAAAAATCAAGAACTCTAACAACAACAGATGCTGGGGGGGATGTGGACAGAAAGGAACCTTACTTCATTGTTGGTGAGAATGTAAACTTGTTCAACCACTTTGGAAAGCAGTATGGAGGTTCCTCAAAAGACTTCACATAGAACTCCCCTATGACCCAGCAATCCCACTTTTGGGCATTTACCCAAATGTTTACAAACAAGACCACACTAAAGCTACCAGCACAACTATGTTTATTGCAGCATTATTTTCCATAGCTAAGATCTGGAACCAACCCAGATGCCCCTCAGTAGATGAATGGATCAAGAAAATGTGGTATCTATACACAATGGAATTCTATGCCTCCATCAGAAAGAATGACATTGCCCCATTTGTTAGGAAATGGAAAGGCTTGGAAAAAATTATATTAAGTGAAGTAAGCCAGGCCCAAAGAAACATAGGTCCCATGGTTTCCCTTATTTGCAATATCTAGTATATGTATGAGTCAAGCGGAAAAGGTCAGATAATGTGATGTCAGGAAAATAAACCCTTAGATATGTATTTTAATGTTTTTTTCTTTCATGCATGTGTTTCTAATGCATTTATAAGATTATCTCTTTGTTGCTTTGTATGTCCCTCCCCCACACTATAACCCCTGCTTTCACTA